GATATCTTTTGTACTTAAAACTAAAATGTCTAAGCGTTCAAGTTCTTCTTAATGGAAGCATTTTAAAAACGGAAGTTTATATCGCCACAAGGACACTTCTAATGCAATACGAAAATCTCAAAAGTTCTAAAATGTCATCTTAATTCCCAAATCACTAAACTCCATATTGACTAGTTTTCAGGAGAAAGGAAAAACATTTCATCGGAAAATTTCCTATCTCATCTCTCAATTCGCAAATATCCTATCTTCATAATTTTTACCTTTCTAATATGGAGTTATGATTTTTTCTAATTGTTAAAATCATCACATCGGAGATACGACCATTTCTAATAATCAATGTCATATGGAGGATAAAATGTTACAATTTATCAGTTACAACTTTATCATACAATGCAGTTTTTTCCTTAATTTTAATCACAATTTGCCGCAACACTGTTTGCCGCAGAGACGTCTACATGGTTGCACGTTTATTTCAGTGTGTATTCGGTTATTTCCATATCACGATGTAGAACAAATGACATTATCCGCAGGCATATAACACCGAGCTGTTTGCGAATAGGTAAATACTATAATATAATTCGTAACTAGTCGAAAGGAAGAGGCGTGGACTTATAATATATCGCTCATATAATATTATGATTCAGTTCGTGTTTGACGCCCGACCGAGCAACACGTGTGTAGCCTTATCGCAACCGCATTTTTATCTACCGTTAGAAGTGTTCCTACTCTGCTCTACGATAAACTGGTAATATGATTTTATTAAGCGCGATTAGCTATCTTCCTAATTAAAATCAATTACGATATTAAATTGCGTTCATTCGCAATCACCACCAATATGCCTACAACACCGGGCAACTTAAATTCAAACCCAAATAAACTATCTCTTAATGATAAATTATTAGCGTCCAAACACTCAACACCTATCCCCCCACCCAAAACCACCTCAACTCAAGACAACCTCATCGTCAATGATACCAACAACATTCAACCCACCTCAAATCATCCAATAGACAGCTCCCAAGCTAAAAGTTTCGCTGAAACAACAGCCAACTCTCTCATACCAAAAATGAACCAAGCTATCGTTATGAACTCAATCGACGGAATTAAACAAATACAATACATAGTTGCGCTCAGTAAAATTACTGACGCAACCAACATTATCTCCGCTTCGCGCATATCTAATAACAGGTTCTGTGTTTTCTTCAAAAACCAACAGATTACTAATGACATCATTAACAAGCACTCGGCCATATTCGTTGATAACATTGAGGTACCGATACGCAAGTTAATTAACCCGGCCAAACGCATTATTTTATCGAACGTATATCCCGCTATTCCAAATAAATCTATCATCGAGGCGATAGAGACATTCGGTATTAAGATAACATCTCCAATCACGGCGCTTAAAGCTGGTTTCCCGCTCGATAAATTCGCACATATCACAAGCTTCCGCAGACAACTGTACATCAGTCCTGAAGACTTCCCAAAACTACCTGGATCGATCGTTATTGTCCTCGAAAACACCTCATATCGTATATTCATTACCGATGACATCGTAACCTGCTTTTTATGCAAAAAACCTGGCCATGTATCATCCTCTTGTAAGATGATATACACAACTCCCCCTCTGACAGAAAATATGGACACCTCAAATGGACAAACATCCACTAATACCTCATCCCATCATATTGTCGAAAAAACCAATAGTATGGACATGACTCCTGATCTACCTCTAGAAACTACTAGCGAAATATCCAACACAAATAATACACAATTCACCAAAGACGATAACTACGATGATATATCGGACTCACAACCACTCCAAGCTACTTTCAAAAGGCCGGCCCCTGAATCCACATGCCCCTCAGCGCCTCCCTCCCCCACGTTGACCAACGACATAATTGAGTTAGGTAAGGATTCATCTGCTGCCAAAAACATAAAGTCCAAAAACCAAACCATAAAAAAAATTAAAGTCAGATCAAGATCAAACTCCTTAACAAGAACCACTGAAATATTAGATAACCTCCTCGAGCCAGCAACGGCTATCCTGCAGAATAAAGACTCCTCCCTTAATCTAATCACTTTCAAACATATTCTAGAAAACTTCACGAACAAAAATTTAAATATACATGAACTATGCATTAGTGTTGGATCCAATGCCACTGAAGTCCTTGATATGGCCGAAAAAGTATTACCACTAATGGTGGAAAAAAAAATTAAAAACAAAATATCTAAACTAACTCAAATTCTATTCCAATCTATACCTCCCCCCGAAAAGTGAACCCCGCAGACTTCCAACCTGAATCAATCAAACCAATAAAACACTACTCAAAATCTATCCCCACTTCCTTATCATAATGACCAATATCATACAATGGAATCTAGATGGCTTCTACAAACGAAGCACCGATTTACAACGAATCCTTTCCAACTTACAACCCAGCGTACTATGTCTCCAAGAAACCAATCTCAAAATGGGACAAACTACACATGTTAAAGAATATACCAGCTATTGCAGGAACCGCGTAAACCCTATCAGAGCGAGTGGTGGCGTTGCCATACTCGTTAAAAATAACATTGAAAACAGCCAAGTCAATCTCCAAACACATCTCGAAGCCATAGCAGTAACAATAAAACTTCAAATCCAAATATGTGTATGCAATATATATCTCCCTGACAGCACCAACTTCAGCCTCCATGACCTTATCCACATTATCTCCCAACTACCAAAACCCTTTGTATTAATTGGTGACTTTAACAGTCGGAATACACTATGGGGCTCCTCCTATACGGACAGTAGAGGAAAAACAATAGAGAAACTGCTTGAAGAACCGAACATAATACTCTTAAACAATGGTAGCCCTACTAGATACAACGCAGCTAACGGAAAACTATCAGCAATCGACCTATCTATAGCAAGCTCAAACATTGCCCCAAGTATCGAATGGAAGACCCTCCCAATCTATAATGGAAGCGACCACTGGCCAATACAGTTACAACTTTTTCACCAATCTTCTAAAACAGACCCTATAAATAAATGGAAACTCAAATCACCAAACTGGGAACTATTCTCCTGCCTTGTTGACCAGTAAATCACAGAAAACCAATTAGGAGTTCCCATTGAACATATACTACCCATAAACCAAACCCACATTGATGAACTGATCAACAAATTATCAACGCTAATAATAAAGGCAGCTAATATAGCAATTGGAAAATCTAGTCGCCCTCTTAACAAAAGAACAGTACCATGGTGGAACGAAGATTGTAAAAACGCAATCACAAAATATAAAAAAGCTCTCAACCGCTTCAAAAAAACCCACTTACAAACAGACCATATACTAGTTAAAAAATACAAAGCTGAATCCAGATACATTACAAAAAAAAGTAAACTAGAATGCTGGCAGAAATATACATCTACAATCAATATCAGAACCCACCCGTCAGCAGTCTGGAACAAAATTCGTGCACTCAAAGGATGTAAACACCAACCTCTTCCTAACCATATGCACCACAACCAAACTGAACTACATTCAACCTCCGAAATTGCACATGCCTTTGCTGAGACATTCCAATCAAACAATAGCAATGCAAATTATGAGGAGAACTTTTTAAATTTCAAAAATGAAACTGAAAATAATATCACAATTAACCCCTATCCTCAACCTGACAACGCGGAATATAATCACCCATTCAATATAAAAGAACTCCACCTCGCACTTCACAACTGTAACAGCAAAAGTCCTGGACCTGACGATATTCCTTTCACCTTCTTGAAAAACTTATCGGATAATGCTATCAACACTCTCCTCGCAATTTTCAACTTAATTTGGAACAATGGAATTTTCCCCAATCAATGGAGACAAGCACTCGTAATCCCTATACTAAAACCAGACAAAGATAAATTTAATATTCTTAGCTACCGTCCAATTTCGCTTATCAGTACCCTAAGCAAATTACTTGAAAAAATGATAAACAAACGCTTAGTGTGGTTTCTCGAAACGAACAAAAAATTCACAAAACAACAATGCGGCTTCCGCAAAAACCATTCAACCCACGATGTCTTAGCTACACTTCACACTGATATAACTGAATCAATAATTAAAAAACAACACCTTATCCTAATTGCTCTCGATATAGAAAAGGCCTATGACATGGTATGGAAAAAAAAAGTACTATCCTCCCTCCAAAAATGGAATATCACAGGAAATATGCTAGCCTTTATTCACAATTTCCTTCTAGATCGAAAAATCCAGGTAAAACTAGGCAATACACTTTCCGAACATCTAGACATTGAGAACGGACTACCGCAAGGATCATCAATAAGTGTCACATTGTTTCTCGTTGCCATTAATGACATATTTAATAACATAAAGCCTCCCATAAAATGCACACTATTCGCCGATGATTGCAACATATATTGCAGAGGAGCTAATATCAAAACTACTGTAGCACTTCTCCAAACAGCACTAAAAGCCCTATCTGACTGGTCCTCCATCACAGGCTTCAAGTTCTCACCAGCCAAAACTCATTGCATAATTTTCAATAACAAAAAAAAAAATGAAACAATCCATCATGTATACCTAAACAACACAAAAATTGAATACACTGAAAGCATCCGTATACTCGGGATGATATTTGACAGCAAATTCACATGGGTCCCACACCTCAAAAATCTAAAAAATGAATGCAAGAAGAGAATGAAAGTCATCAAAACGCTGTCCCATCACACATGGGGTTCCGAAAAAAACACTCTTATCACCATATACAAATCACTCATCGTATCCAAAATTGACTATGGTTCTTTAATTTACTACTCAGCCAACCACAACATCTTACGTACAATTGACCCAGTTCACAATGAAGGAGTAAGACTCTCAATAGGAGCTTTCCGTACGAGCCCAGTTTCCAGTATTCTTTGCATCGCAGGCGAACCACCTCTCCAGATCCGAAGAAACAAAGAAATCTTAAAATACGCGGCAAAAAAAAAAAAACCTTGAATGGCATCACAAATATTCACCTCCTCTCCTAGCCTCAGAACTCCATTGAAACATGAAAAAATCATTGACACATACACCAAACTGTGCAATAATTCAAACTGCATCATTAACACAGACACCCTCTTTCCTTTTACGTCAACTCCCTACTGGCAATGGTCCCCTAAAATAAATACGCAACTCCTCCATTTCAAAAAGGATAGCACCTCTCACACAACTATTATAGCAAACTTTAATGACATTTTGCACACCGAATTTCAAGATTTTAATCATATCTATACCGATGCCTCCAAAACCTCTGTCGGAGTAGGATTCGCTTACTCTACAAGCCACTCCTCAAAACGATTTAAGCTCCTCCCTGAAGCCAGCATATTCACAGCGGAAACCCAAGCTATCAAAGAAGCCATAATGTTCGGAAAGTCAACATTATCAAATAAAATCTTAATAATCAGCGACTCCCTAAGTGCCCTTCTAGCAATCGAAGCACCGAACCCCTCTAATGAGATAATCTGTCAAATACATAATATCATCACATCGACCCATAAATCAATCGAATTCATGTGGGTTCCCTCACATACGGGCATTCCTGGAAATGAAAAAGTAGATATACTAGCAAACGAGGCAATCACCTCGTCCTCATCCTCAACCATTACCACCCTCCCATTCCAAGACGTCAAAAGATGTATAAATATACATACTTCCAATATGTGGCAAACATCCTGGGATGAAATACCAATCACCAATAAACTTAAATCAATTAAAAAGAAAATCACTAAATGGTACACTCAGCCCAATGCCTCCAGACGATCCGAAATCATCAATACCAGAACAAGAATCGGCCATACCAATCTCACCCACATTCACATCATAAAACATGAAGAACAACCTCTCTGTAGCCAATGTAACGAACCACTCTCAATCAAACATATAGTCTTAGACTGCCCGCTATATGTCAACGAAAGAAACATCCTTAACCAACCATCAACGATGGAGGAAGCTCTAGGAGAACATAACACGCACTTGATCCATACCTTCTTCAAATCCATCGGCATTGACACAAAAATTTAATGTAAAGATAGATCTATACTGCTATAAATATAATGTAAATATACAACATCACTGTAAAATCCATATATACCACAATTGTAATGTAAAATTAATTTAGAATTTAGTCATTTATTTGTATATTCACTAATTAACGATAATGTAATCACAACCACAGGCTAATGACCTAGATGTTGAAGCCTTTATTATCAATAAAAAAAAAAAAAAAAAATATTATGATTATTATGCGCACCCGTACATGGCTCGATTTTGGGGTGGTTAAACGGTAGGTGAAGTAAATCACTCTAGTATAGATAATTTTTAATTTTTTTACTATCATGAAAATCGATGACATCCATGAGTCATGACAATACAATATCCACCTGCTTGACCATATAGGATTATTACATATTTTATTTTATTTTATTTATTTGTTAACGGGCTGGGCCCTATTCAACAGTTTAACATAATACAATAATACATAATTTAAAATAATTAATACAATGACATAATTAAATTTATATAAGATAATAATTACAGAATAATAATGATAATAATGATAATAAAACAAATATAAAAATATATAATAATAAATGTATCAGTTTTGATAAACGGTGCTCTCATTGGCCAGCCGCATCATGCGGTCTAACGGATTATTTCTGCCATAATTGGTAGTGTGCGCAGGAACAATGAAGGGAGCATGGTATCTAGTAGCACGGGAAGGAACTCTGAAATTGACTATCGAGAGAAGTGAGGGAGCATCTATACGACCATCAATCAGTTTATTCAGAAACTCAATGTTAGCGTTAACTCGCCTGTTACATATATTTATGCAAAGCGAATGAGGTAGATATAATAGATAGGTATTAATACACAGTACATACTTTATAATAATACGTTTAATATGAGTAACATCATAATAATATTAATAATATTAATTTAATTAATATAGAACAAAACAGGTGGCGAAGAGCCGACGATGGTACAGACATGAAATACGTGAGGCAAACCTACACTAGCTTGGTACAAATGACAATGGAGGACATGATAAACGGTTTCAGAATAGTACCAGCGAACACAAAAGTGAGATAACGGTGGGAGAGGAGGGGATGTTTAAAAACTTTTAAACTATAATATACATATTACTGGTCTATCTTGTCAAAAGAATCACAACAACAAAGGAACCGCCTGACAAATTTCTTTGTCTGGCACCAAAATGAACGACGAGGACGTGTGTGTCTCGGACTTTCCAGTTTCCGTACATCGCTGGTGACCTGCTGAAACTTTAGATTTGGCGTTGATCGCCACCCAATATCTGCAGCTGTCTCGCCAGCTAATTTTGGATGTACTGGGATATTTGGCTCAGATACACAGAGCCTGCCGTCCAGAAAAACTTTGGAATCAAAATTTTTCGACGATTCCAGTTTCCGTACATCGCTGGTTACCTGCTGAAACTTCAGATTTGGCGTTGATCGCCACTCAATATCTGCAGCTGTCTCACCAGCTAATTTTGGATGTACGGGGATGTTTGGCTCAGATACACAGAGCCTGCCGTCCAGAAAACCTTTGGAATCAAAATTTTTCGACGATTCCAGTTTCCGTACATCGCTAGTGACCTGCTGAAACTTCAGATTTGGCATTGATCGCCACCTAATATCTGCAGCTGTCTTGCCAGCTAATTTTGGATGTACCATGTACGGGGATGTTTGGCTCAGATACACAGAGCCTGCCGTCCAGAAAACCTTTGGAATCAAAATTTTTCGACGATTCCAGTTTCCGTACATCGCTAGTGACCTGCTGAAACTTCAGATTTGGCGTTGATCGCCATCCAATATCTGTCGATTTGGCTGAGGAATTTTCATACATGGCGGCCATGCTAGGCATAGATACACATCTATATGACATATTTATTTGATAATATTATATAGGCAGAATTAACGGAGAAGATTATACAGAAATACGTAGAAATGAAATTTATTCGTAATGAACACAAGAAATGAATATTGACAAGTGGTAACTATGTAACACAGATATGAATTGTAGATTTTTGAAACATTCAAGCACGCGGCAACGATATTTTAGTTGTTTGTGTTGTTTTCTTAGAGCCAATATTAATAATGTTAATGAAGTTGAGAATTTCATAATGCTTTACCAAGAATTTTCGAAAACTAATTGGATTCGTGTTGGTCAGCTTGACAATCCATCAAGGTAAGTAAAAATAGTTCTCATTATTTGATTAATATTAATGTATAAGACATTTTTTTTTCAGAGTCATGTTTCATAAATATTGGGTACCTATGTCAGCACAGTAAGGTGACTTCATTAACATTATTAATATTGGCTCTAAGAATCGAGGTCTTTGCTAAAATAATTGGTAAATCTGAGTTCAAAATTGTTACCTCATCAAATTATAATAAAATTGAATAGTATATTATATAATAATTGTCATTATAATCTATATAGGAACTTGTAACACCTATAAAGTATTATCGAGTAGGTCAAATTTTTGAATTTTGTTAGTAAATTTTTGTTATTTAGGGAGTCATGTTGTACATTCAGGACAATTAAATCACATTCAGAGCCCAACTGACAGCATTTTAACATGCGAGGTGGTCATCATAGTAAAAAAAATACTTTAAAATATGTTCACAGTTTTAAATGTTTGTACAATTTTTTTTTTTGTCTAATATTTATATACTTTCAATGATCGTGTAACCCCTACCTACCTCTGACTATGTAGGTAGACATGTATGTATTATTTTTTACCTATCTTAATATATTTTGTTTACTTAATACTTGCATAACATTTTAAAAAGATTGAATTAGTTAAATTATAAATGTGTAAAAAATATTATTTATAAACCACTGCTGTGGTAGGTAGTAATGTAGTGTACCTACAAATATAAAATTGAAAATAACAACAGGGCTTTTCAGTCATCGATGAACTAGACTACCAAACTAGACGTCCAAAATTGTTTTTGCACCATTCATGTGAAGTTACAACAATTTCTTTAATTGGACAATGGATAGTAATATTTGGTTAGCTTCAGTAACTACCATTCCATATATTATTAAAATAATCATTGAACACTAGTTCAATTCGTTCCTCTAAAAATAGTTATGTCTTTATTAAAAATACAATACATATATTAATGTTAGAGCATGAAATTTTAGTAAGGTACCTATACCTATTTTAATTAAGAATCTTATGTTTTAGTAAAAATAAAACATTTAAGTAAGATTGGTATTTTGTTTCTATGTTAGGAAGAACCTAGACAATCTTTTTAGCTAACACAAAAGGTGTGTACAAGTACAATACACTTAGTCCAGTAAGAAATGTTCACTCTGAGGTAGGTATAGGTACCTACTAAAGTAAAAAATAAAAATAACTGTGTAGAGATCACATTCTACGCATTAATTTATTGATTTATAATAACATAATAATATTGTTTAATATTAGTTAGGTACCTTTTCCTACTAAATAGTCATTTTAATTTGTTTAAATTAAATAATATAATATAATATTTAAATTAATATTATATATATATATATTATTAAATTAAATTAAATTATTTGATAAATGATAAAAAAAAAAGCGGGCAATTTGAAATGGGCCAATGAGAACGTGGTATACATAAGGCGCTCTGTGGCGTCCTGGGTTTCCTAATACTCCAACCGGCTGCATGTACTATTTCTCATTCAACCTACACGACAGAGCGTCATCCAGTTAGTGCCTCGTATTGTCCAATCTACTCGACAGGGATATATCCAAATTGCCCTGCATATTTTCGTCCCCGATGTCCGGTGGATCTTATATCAATCCGAAGATCATTTGTGCATGAGTGCATGACCGCAATGGACGAATATGAGCATTTTTAAGACTTGGCTGATACTATTTTAATTAGATTTTTAAAAGAACCGCTGATAGATTTATTTTATCCATAGTGAATTATTAAGAAGTCATATCGTTGTGAAACACATTTTATTTATCAGTCACGAGATTAATTAGATTTTTAATAGATTCGATACCACATTTATTTATCAGATATTAATTAGTTTTTTTTTTATTTTTAAAGATTCTTACACCACACTACCACAGCCATTAATGTCAAGTGTGTTTCCACCGCCAACACCATGTCAGCTGCTAGAGTGAAAAAGGCTCGAATAATTTAGTTAAGAGGACATCACACCCGCATATTACAACGCAGCATTATACAAGAAAAATACCTTTACTTATATACTAAAATCACCTTCGGCTAAACTCATTGAATTTAAATCCTACAAGTTGGACTTTACAGCTCGCAAATATATACTTGTCGGTATCGATCCGACTGATAATTTTAAAACAGTTATTCATTTATTAACTTCTTCTATCGTCACGTGAAAATATCATCAAATTATCTTAGACGTATATTCTCTATGATGGTACATATCTTATCATTCATATCAGACATTCCACAATCATAAACGAACCATATTCCTCGACACCGATTTGTATAAATTATAAATGTTTTAGTTATTGAATCTAAAATTGAAGACGGGTGTAGCGTACTATTAAACCGTGCAGATCTGATACAACTCCAGAAATTAGAATGGTGTATTTCTACAAGTATAGAAGAAAAAGATACATTAAACACAAAATTATCAATCAAATGAATCAATATTGTGATTATTTGGCTGAAAAAATTTTACAAGTGGATTCACCGCACATTTTCATTAATCATTAGTAACATTGAAGTGAGGTAGACCAGTCAAAATCAGTATCTTAGTCAAATCAAATTGCTTATATCCACACGATTAGCTGACTTTTTATGACTCAGTTGAAGACACAAAACCCCCCATTGGTAATTCAAAAATATATTATTACTTATTAAATAAAATATTTAATACTTTTTTTTTATTTTAGCCATATGACAAAAATTGAAAATTTTTAAAAGTCTTTCTTCTATATCACCAAGCTATTCACCAGTAAATGCAATCTTTAGCTTGTATGACGAGTCCACTGCACATGATGGATGTAATCAGTCAAAGTAGTTTTTATAAAATGTTTTTAACAAGTTGACTGCCACGGTATTTTTATAGAGCTATCCTCATACGCCATGAGTACCAAATATGGTACTCACTCGGTTTGGCTCATAAGGTTTTATGTTTTCTGGATTATTGAGTACCAATAATGGTACTCAGTGACGAAATCACGAAAAAAAAACTATTATTTATCAAGGTCAAACGGTTATCACGTGTCAAATGGCGTGTGAGTATTAGGATTGGTACTCAAAGCGTATGAGGATAGCTCTACAAAAATAACTTGGGGCAGGAGACAAACCATGTGAGTAGTGACTAGTGAGTACCCTACCCGCGGCAGTCAACTTGTATAAAGATAATAAACATTTTATATTTTATTTTATTTTAACCTATAATCCATTTTATGGATTAGTAAGAACATTGTAAATATTTATTGTAAACCTTAATATTATTTTAATAAATGAAAATACTTTTTATATAATATCATGTCTGTTTTTATTTCACATAAATTATTTAATTTCCAACAAATATTAGAATAATCTACATCTCACATTGCGTACTAGTGCCGGGTGTTCGGCGAATTTTGATTGAGATGGTGGTTGGACAGTCGGTAAGTTGAATTAATAATAGAAAATTACAAAAAATAATTAAAATCGGTATTCTTGGTTTTTTAATATGTAATAATCAATAATACGCACTTATTGTAATATTATTAATAGAACTGTATCGATTATGTAAAGCGTATAAATTCTACTTTATTACAATTTAAAACACTTATCGTGCACCAACTAATACTGTTATACCCATATAATATATATAGGTAGCATTTGTAACTATATTTGTATGTATAATAGTGTACCTACATAGCAATATGTATTATAAATAAAATGTTGAATGACCGTGATTACTTGTCTCGATATTATTATGATCAGAGAAGATGCAGATAGTCCAGCCAATCGTTATGCATGGAACAACACAACCCCCAGGGATCCACGACTCTTTGGTCTAGGATGCCAAATGATTGATAGTATACAGAAAACCTGCAAGCTGATAGCCATGAGTAACCCAGACCGAGCCAGCTATGACAGGAGAGTGGTACAGTCAGTGATGTAGTCCTAAAAAAATTCATGGTACACGCCTTAATCATTGTAAAAAATAACTTGGGGGGGATATGCCCCCCAACCCCCCAGTCCTCCACCATTATTTGAAACTCGTACAATACTTCATCTATTTGTCTATATAATATACAATAGAACCTCATACATATTGATTGATATATTTTAAACACATAATCCATTAAAAAAATGCATAACTATAATTTTTCTTAAAATATAATTAACAAATTAATGAACATACCTATTATTATTATTTTTTATTATTATAAAATATTTTTATATTATTCAAGTAATTCCCATAGTTTGTATTTTAGGTCTTGGTTTGGGTCTGTAGTGGTATATTAACTTTTCTTGACTTGTTGTCATCAGCATCTCTATGTGAGGTTAACCAACTTTCGATAGTCTTTTCTACGGATAAAGAAGGATCTAACATAGTAACATCATGTTGGTTAACGGGCTCGTTTCCTAGGTTTAGACTTCAGATCATAGGTAGGTAAACTTAAACCTAATCAGCTGATCGAGTTTCACTTCTATATTTTTCTATGAAAATTGTATTACTATTATCTACTATTTATAATAAACAAATTTACAAATTTATCTTTTTTTTATTATTGAATTATTGTTTGTAATTTATTATATTATATTACCCAATAATATTTCCTCAATACATTTTATTGACTAAGTATAATTGGTAACGTTAATACGTATTTTTCATGGCCCGTGTACCCTCAAACCACGATTTTCGTTAAGGGTACACGCATTGATCTAAAATTGGGAGGTGAGTACACGCCGTGTACCCTCCACTACATCACTGGGTACAGTACACAATTCCAACCCCCCCCCAGGCTGTTTCGTTCTGACAACCGGACCGTTAACGTGGAATTTCTACATGTCTACAATCTACATACTGATTAGTCACGGTAAATATGGGTAAAAGGCAACCTATAATGGAACCTATAGCCCTTGCAATAATCGTGAGCTTCCTCCGGTATCTCCATACAAAGGCCAAGAAGACAATAACGTTTAACACATTTTTCAGTTAAAATAAATGTTGGCTCCGTAGAAATAATGGTCTTCTTCACATAGTCATTTATCATAGTAATCATAGGTTTAAAACTTTAAAAAAAAACAATAAATCACATGATAAAAAATAAGGGTATATACCTACTTATTGTTATTGGTATAATGATATGAATATATAGGTACACATATTCAGAAATCAAAATTATTGATATTAGGCATTATTTTATTTTATTTATAGCGTTACAAAAATTATTTCTCGTGAATACCAAAATCTTTTTTGTTTCACAAATTCCTTCTCTTAAATTTTTTTAACGTTTGTAATTTGTATTCAATATACATAGTGTCATATAAAACAAAAAAAAGGTGCTGTACTGAACAGTAGGTTACAAGTGGGTCAGTGGGTCACTGTAAAATGGATGGTATTAAATTTGAATTTAATGACATAATATCATTGTATAAGAAAAACGATTCTAAGAGGAGACGGTATGTCAGTCTAGGTATAAGACATATTATGTACCTACTTATCTATGGTATTGAAAAAAATTGACTTATAATATAGGTACCTATAATAAATTCCAAATTAATCATATCACAATATCCATTAGGTAATTAGATCACGTTATACATCAACAACAAACCCTGATGGCTGATACTATTATAGATATATAATAGTGTACTTTAGAAGTTTCAAGTACCCACGAATAATATTATACAATCACAACAAAATAACTAAAATAGTTATTCTAGGTTTTTTATTATGTAATTTCGTCCAAATTTGAACTTAAAATGTCTATAAAAATAAACTGTCTTTCTGTATTTTTAGATTTTTTGGTAATAGAATAAACTACTTACGTGGAATCTTGTTTAAAATTTTCAGATATAAAAGTTGAACATTTTATACATTTTTAACTTCAAAATAATTATTCAATTTTAAATTTGATAAATTTTGTCAAAATTCGAACTCTAAATGCTTATAAAAAAAATTGTGGCTATGTATTTTTAATATTTTTCAACTGATTTAGTAACAATATATCAGAAGCCTTGTATTACATTTTTACACTTTTTGGCCCTACAGATAAAACTTTATTGATAAAGAAAATTGAAAAATGAAAATATCCATAAACATCTCAAAAAGATATAAATATTAATTTATATTAACATTTCCTATACTACTACTACTACATTTCCAAATATTTTGACTTTTTTTGAGCTGTTTATGGACATTTTCAGTTTTAAATTTTCTGTGAAATTTTCATGTATCTACAGTTATTCGTTTTTTAATTACAACAAAATAAATAAATCGGTTCATGAGAAATCGAGTGAATATCCAATGTTGTAAAAATTTAATTTGACTTTCTTATAGACATTTTTTTTTTTTGATAAAGGTAGATAATCTTATAAGAAATCTTGTATTACATTTCAAAATCTTAGATTTAAAAAGAACAATTTTTACGAATTCTTAACTCAAAATAATTTGCTAACTTTCGTGATTTTTCCATATTTTGTCAATTTTTGAACTTTAAATGCTTATAAAAAAAAACTGTGACTAAGGATTTTTAGTATTTTCATCTGCCTTTGAAACAATATACTAGGAGCCTTCTATTAATTGTTCAAGCTTTTTTAATCAACAAATAAAATTGTATTGATATTTTTAGGAAAAAAACTATAAAAATGGAAAATGAAAATGTCCCTAAACAGTTCAAAACAAATCATAATATTTTGAAAATGTTATCGTGTATAGAAAATGCAAATATAAACAACCAGTGAAAATTTCATGTATCTACGGTAATTTGTTTTAAAGTCAAAAACAAAATTCAATTTTGTGAAAAATCGATTTTGCCTAAAAATTCCCGTTTTTCCTTAATTTTTCTTTTGGTGTTCTTGGCGCTTTTGAAAATTACTGGGAGTTTTAAATTTTTTGTACCTCCCAATGCACCAACGATATTCATTTTCCAATCGAACAAGATACTGAAGTCTAAAATCAAAGCATTATTTCGACTACTTATCGTGTACAGACACAAAAAAAAAAAAATTAAAAAATTAAAAAAAAAACACACATCATTGTAAAATCAATACATTCTTCGTTTCACTCAGAATCTAAAATGAATATTGAATTCCCCAATTTCTATTCGTATTACATAGGTATTATTAAATGTCCACCTATATTATCATTGGATAGCAATATATAGCATTAGCCAATAATAGAGAATTATGAGAATTTTCAAATATTAATGTTTTACATGATCATAGTTCACTTAAACATTTAAACATCGTAAAAAAACAACTATAGAACACAGATAATATTCTTACTTAAAAGTTTGATAATAGGTCAATATCAAAACTGACAGCACCCTATTGAAATTAGCGAACCAAAATTCGCTATGCCGCCGTCGTACGTGTGTAAGACAGAAACAACACATGGGAGGGCGATATCCTTTGAAGGGTTTGTATTATGTTTACGCTTGTAAACGCTGATTAGGTATTATGTAATCGTGTTGTATTGTTGTAACATTATAAAAGTAATGAAAGTAAATCCAAATCAAGTATCAAAAATAGGTATATTCAAAATGTATAAGGTAGGTATCAATGTAGGTATATAAAACAAAAAAATGAAATGTTCATTATAATAATATTATGTAGGTAAGATATTGAACAATGAACATGGTAATTCGATTTGACCGTACATATGACTGAGATTCTAGGAGTTAATAGCAATTTTAGTTATATAAACAAATTACAAATTCCATACAGTATTAATAAAAATGTGGCAGCTAAAATAGATAATAATGTGTAGTAAGCAATGCATAATCTGAAAATAAAAAAAAAACAATAATAAATTACTATAGTCAATAGCCAATCGGTAATTTACGGTAAATATGCTTTATACTGACTTTTGATTCCATTTTCTTCCTTCTGATAATGTTTCCATTGGATCTTTTACAATATACATTCGAATACCTATTACGTGTTTTTTGAAATATTCATTCCAGCTCAATTTGGTTAAATCAAATCTGAAAAGAGTCTGATCTAATTTGGATAACTTTTGTATCAAAGACCTCGTATTATTATCATTGAATGTCCACGATTTTAAACTGAAGTAAGATATAACTTCGGAGAATTTGTGCATTTTTCTATATCCGTCCATTAATCTAAAACGTAAAAAATATATATTATATTAGGTATATTATTAATAGGCAGGTGTTATTGGTACAATACTACATAAGTATTTTCTATAAAAAAAAAAAAAACAATTTCGTTCTCTCAGTGTCACTTACAGAGGCTTCTTTCCGGTGAGTTTGGCTAAAGAATCAATTATAAATGCTGGTATTATGTGGAGAATAAAACATAAAATTTGGTATTCGTATTTGTTTTTGGATATTCTCAATAGAATTGGTGAAATCTAAAAATGTACGAAATTTTTATTTGGTTAAATGCAACAATTTTCAATATACATGAATCTTATTAAGTTTAAACCTCTTCAAACCACATACCGCTTTTACAGAAGGCACTTCGCAACCGTATTTTTTGTTCAACGACGAAAATTCTCCCCATGTCAATGGATTGACACTTGATGATACGAAATTGTAAATAGGTGGATCAATTAATGTTTCGTTTTCTAAGTTATCAGCTTTCATTTGGTTAGAGGCGTTATGTTCTTTCCTAAAATAATTCAAACGTTTTTATTTAGTCTTGGTACATTTCAATATTGTTGAATACAAATTGCATCAAATCTCCTAGGTTATATTTAATAGACCCGCGACGCACAATCCATAATTTAACGTAAATTCATGAATCCGTATGATCTACCTAGTTATGACTATAGTTAGCCACAAAGCATTGATTATAAATAGTGATTAAAATCAATGGTAGGTATTATGAGTAATCCTCGGATGACCAAAAATCATAAAAATGTACTTAAACTACCAGAATGTATGTTTAAAAAGCGTCCAGGTAGGTATAACAGTTCTGATATAGATTAGGCGTCGAGTATATCTTGTCATTAAGTAGGTCACTGTAATAGTGTAATAATGGATGTTAAATTGATATATTATACCCACTTAGTACATTATTATATTTATGTATATTGCTATGGTAGTGATTCATTTTACAATTTGTAATGCGGACATACGAAGGGGTAGGTTAAACTAATATTTGTCAAAAATTTTACTTGTGTAATATTTTGTTTTATTCCAAACCTTATTGGTATTTTCTTATAAGTCAAATGACTCAAATGTCAATACCTCTGTATGATGTACAGTAAAACGGTGTGAATAGGTTCGTCGAATAAATGGCTTAAAATTAGTCTAAATATTTTCCTCTATTTTTTTTTTTTTTTTAGTTTTTCCCGATTAATTTCATTCATATTAATATATTATGCATTATAAAATAGTGAAATATGCATTTAATTTTATTATAATGTGCTAAAATATTCAATAAAAATATAATAAAATATATGTACTTATACTATGAATTTATCAATAATGTCCAAAATATCATTACCTAAGTGAAAGAGAATCTTATAATTTTAAGGGGATCGGTGGTAGACAATTTTAATAAGATAAAAATAGGCAATTTTCAAATTGTATGCATGTGGGTCTTGTAAATGGGTGCGTAGTGATAATTAGTGTGTTTGACTGTGTGTAAAAGTAATATCGGAGAGTTCCCACACGCGCATGTACATTGTACAAGTCAACCCCTCGGCGCTGCGCTAGTGAATAGTAAATAATTTATGCTAATGTGTATGTACTTTTTGTTCATCTTACATTCCTACCAAAAGACCTAATATTGAGATAATATTTCTGAATTTCTTATAATGTTTACTTGAGATCGGTCAGTTTACATTTTAAGATTTCTAATTTCAATTCCGGATAATCAACGTTTGGAAATTCCAAAATTTCAAAATATTAAAACTAAATTTATAGTATTTATTGAATGAGGGATGGGGGGGGGGGGGTGAAATTGGAGAAAGTAAACTGACCGATCTCAAGTAGCCATAATAACGAATTCAAATCAGTTTTATAAAGTATTATCGTATTACTAGGTCGATCAGTATGATGGACAAACGATTGGTATGTTTTGGCTAAATTAACTGACCGCACCTATAACCCCTTATAAAACATCCAAACATTATAAAATTGTGCACTATAGTCCGTTAAAATATTCAAATATACGCAAAATAAAAAATTGATTCTTATGTAATATGAGGCTATCCATTTAGTATTTCTTACATTACTACCCAAATTTGAAAAGGGTGCTGCAAAAATAATCACACTAATGCATATAGATCCTAACTTTATAATGGCGGCAGACTCACATAATAATAAAAAATACACACATATCATTGTGAAACTGCATTCGTCGCTCTGTTCGATCAGAATCCAACCTGTTTTGTATCATATTGTTATTTTTACTACCTACTTAATTATCGATTGAACATTGAAGGTTGTTTGGTTTTTGTTTAAATGTTTTATTCCTTCCCGTATTAATTTATGGGGACTAGCTTCAAGCAGTTAGCCTAGAGACTAGAACACGAAAAACCTTTTTTTTCATATCTTAATCAAATTTTTCAAACAATTGTACAGTAAGGCAGTATATTGATTTATAAGATAATAACCATAATATGGGATATTATACTAAAATATACTATGCTCAGAATAGTTTTTCATGCGATTAATCATTGAATTCAGATTTTACACTTCCAACACAACTGCCTATATTATATTATACTCAATGACGTGGTACGCTATACAGCAGAGCGAGTTACCTTGTTTTTTATTTATACATATTCAATTGTTTTTAGTTACACTTTAGTGTCCACACTGGACATTTAGGCAATTATTGCAGCTGTGGAACTAGGCACTCACTCCACTTTATAGTTAATAGAATTTTATGGTTTACAATAATTACCATTGGTTGTGAATATCCCAAGCACAAGCCAACACGGCATTGCTTACGTAATCTCCAGGCACGATATCGGCTGTTTTAGTTGAATCGGCATTCATACACCTCATGAGACCAATCCCGGTGGCTGCTACAACTCCTGTCGGTCCATAGAAATTGTTGATCCACCCAGGAACAGGTTCGTTATCAGTGGCGATAACTAGTATTTTAAATACGAAATGTATATTAATATTAAGTATACAAATTTGAAATGATTGCTAATTAATGTTATTACTTATTAGAACTTGCAGTCAAAAATAAATAATAATATAAAATCCAATAACATAATATAGTATGCATGGTGCAATATTGTACTTACTCATTGACGGTCTAATAACTCCAATTGGCAACCCTTTGCCATAGGTCATTATTTCGCCCTCGGCAATCGCTTTAGTCATCGCGTATGTATTTGGCCATTCTCCTAGTAACCTGCACGAATAACGGATTCACACTCTCAATCATTATTATTTTAATTATTAAAAATTACTTAATAGGTATACACTAATACACTATACAGTATACAGTATACTTTTTTTAAATTTTAAATTAGTACCCAATATATAATCTGTATCAGTTGACACAATACCTACTAATATTTAATATGCTAAGAGTAAATAAAATATGAGTATATTTGAAGAAAGAAGCCATCCAATGGTAACACCTAAATTAGATAACCTAATATATAACTAAAGGGTTTAAAAGAGTAGTCGATTTTCTTAACCATAGAAAACTATCGATAAATTATGATAAAACGATGTTTATAAACTTTATGATTAATGATAGAGAGGAAAACTTTGATACATTAAAAATTCATGTCTGTGATAATAATAACTCATGTAAAGAAATAAAATGTAAAACGCTATTAAGGGTCTCTAGTATTCGTTATCTAGGTCTAACTTACGATAAGAATTTAAGATGGAATCTGCACGTAAACAATTTATTAATGCGTTTACGTACCATAAGTTATAACTTTTATAAATTACGAGTGGTAGTACCAATACATGTTGTACGAACAGTATATCTAGCATTATATCAAGCATTATTGCAATACGGTCTACTTATTTGGGGAGGCCTTTCTGCTAATGCTCTAAAACCTTTATCAATTCAACAAAGACAAATTATTCGAATAAGTCTGCAGAAACCTACTCTTGAAGGTTCAACAAGTCAAAACTTTAAATTATTTAATGTATTACCTGTGGATTTACTATTTAAAAAAATTGCCATTTTATGGGTTAGTAAAAACATAGAAAATTGGATAATTAAAAACAATGGAAAAACAAAAAGGGAACATCTAGCATACGATGTTAAAGTGATATATTTAAAAAAATCTTTTGGTCAAAAATTCGTTGACTACCTGGGTCCTACTTATTTTAATTCCATGCCAAATATTATTAAGAAGAATATAATAAATAACATAAAATGTCAAAAAAACTGTTAATGACTGGCTAATATTGTCAATGGGTTAGTTATTAATATGTTTACTCTATTTAAGTATTATTCTTTTGTTTGTATTTATACTATTTAATTACTATCTGTAAGTAATTTGTCGCTCTCTACCTTCAACACAAGCATTGATTTTAGAAGGTAGATAATCTATAAGTTTATTATGTAATTTTTATATTTATGTAATAAATGGATAATCTATAAAAAAAAAATAGTATATATGTATATTATAATTTACTGACAATCTATTAAATTATGTATTAGATATAACATAATACACAACCTATTCGTATTATAATGTACTTATATAATATGAAGTATATCAGTTTAAATAATTTAACTAATTATTTTATGTATTTATTAGAAAATATTTTTTAATGTTTATTTTTAAGTGGTTATCATCACAATATAATAATTATATTATACGAAACGCTTCATGAAAAGATGAAACGGACTTTTTATATTATATAGTATAAAATTAATGCATTTATATTATGCATTATATTATTATAATCATATACCTATTATATCATAATTATATATTAGTATTTATTATTTCCTAGTTCAAATACATCCAACTATATAAAAATATTGTGATACATAAATACATAATACCTACAATTTAATATGACATAATATTATTTCTATACAATATGTTCTCAATGTGAACTACTTACGAAGGTGTAATTCTAGTGATATATTCATCGTCCAGACTGTTAACGACCTGCAATAACTTGTCTCCAGTTATAGGTGGTTTGTAGAATACCTCATCCACAACTTCCCTTCCAGCACAGTTAGAGTAAGCAGTTGAAATGTGAACGAAAGCCTGAATCAAAAAGCCATAATTATAATGAGGGTACATAAAATTAAAAATAATAGATCATGATCTGTTTCATTTACTTTCAAGTTTTTAATGTTTTGGCTAATTTTCAATATATCTTGTAAGGCAATTATATTAATATTGACGGCTATTCTTAAATGTTCGTCAAATCGTACAGTAGCAGCGGAGTGTATTACTATGTTTACCTTATTTAAAAATAATTTTATTAAATCCAACTATTTACAATAGATATAGAATATTATTGTAACAAATTACTTCGTCTTTAATAATGTTTATATATTTTTCTTCGATTCCCATGTTTGGCAAAGCACAATCACCGATAACTGCAGTGATCTTTTCCAAAAAGTTCGGTTGTTCTTTTTTCATTAATTCAAATACCTGAAATGATTTCTCACATTTTACAAAACGAAAATTGTATACAAATAATTAGTGTTGAATGTTAAATGAATCGCACTATAAACTTATAAGTTATACCAAAATTAATAATAATTTCGAATGCGTACAAATATTATTTTTCAAAGAGCTCTGATGGAAAAATAATAAAAACATTAAAGTTCTTACAGGGTCATCGAAGAGTTCTTTAAATCTTTCTTCTGTAGTTTTTCCTTTTTTCTCTCTGATTAACATATAAATTCTTTTCACTCCCGAACAAGTCCTTTCATAAAAAAAATCAAAATATTTACAAATGTTAATAAATAATTGTTGAATTTAAATCTATTGTAAACCTTTTAGATTCTGAGTGGAACGATGAATGTATTGATTTTATAATGATGTGTGTTATTTTAATTTTTTTAATTTTTAATTTTTTTTTGTATCTGTCGTCACCTTTTTGGACATTAAAAGTGCTTAGATTTTCTTCAACAGTAACTTTTTTGGAAGGAAAGTGTATCTAGTTGGTACTTTGGTGAGTCAAAGAAAAATTAAGGAAAAACGGGAATTTTTACTGTTTTCTAGAAAACGATTTTGGTTTTTGGTGCAACTCTAAACAAATGACCGTATAGGTACATGCAATTTTGACTGAATGTTTATATTAGCATTTTATATACACCATAATATTTTCAAAATATTTTGACTTATTTTGAGCTGTTTACAGACATTTTCAGTTTCCATTTTTTTTTCTATAAATATCAATGAAATTTTGTTTGTTGGTTAAAAAAGCTTGAAAATTTAATAGAAGGCTCCTAGTATATTGTTTCAAAGGCAGATGAAAAAAATTAAAAAGGTGGGTAAGTGTATGTCACTCTGCTGTACTGTAGGTTACAAGTGGGTCACTGTATTAATGGATGGTATTAAATTTGAATTCAATGATATAATATCATTGTATAAGAAAAACGATTCTGAGCGGAGACGGTATGTCAGTCTAGGTATAAGACATATTATATACTTATCTATAGTATTAAATAATATGGAATTTAATTTCCCTAAATTTTTCTTTTGTTTTCGGTTTTGAAAACAACTGGGAAATTTTGGAGAACCTTTGTTTTAAATTTACAATCATTAGCTATAAAAACTGAACATTATATAATTTATTAATTACAATGATTGATAATTTTCGAAATTTTGATAAATTTTGTCAAAATTCAATCTTTAAATGCTTATAAAAAAAATTGTGCCTATGTGGCTATGTATTTTTAATATTTTTCAATTGCTATTGTAACAATATATCAGGAGTTTTGTATTAAATTTTTACACTTTTTGGCCCAACAGATAAAACTTTATTGATATTTATAGACAAAAAACTAAAAAAAATTGAAAACTGAAAATGTCCGTAAGCAGCTCAAAAAGAGTTAAAATATTTTCAAAATTGTACAGTGTATAGGAAATGCTAATATGAACATTCAGTGAAATTTTCATGTATCTTCAGTTATTCGTTTTTGAATTACAACGAAAGAAGGAAATCGTTACATGAGAAATCGAGTGAACATCCAATGTTGTAAAAATTTGAATTTCAAACGCTCATAAAAATTTAATTTGACATTCCGGTAGAGATTTTTTTATTGATAAAGGTAGACAAACTTATCAGTAATCTTGAATTACATTTTCAAACATTAGATTTAAAAAAAAAAATTTTTAGGAATTCTTAACTCAAAATAATTTGCTAATTTTCGTGATTTTTCCATATTTTGTCAATTTTTGAACTTTAAATGCTTATAAAAAAAAATTGTGACTAAGGATTTTTAATATTTTTCATCTGCCTTTAAAAAAATATACTAGGAGCCTTCTATAAATTTTCAAGCTTTTGGAAACCAACAAATAAAATTTTATTGATAGTTTTAGAATAAAAACTAAAAAAAAATGGAAAATGAAAATATCCCTAAACAGTTTAAAACAAATCATAATATTTTAAAAATTTTATCGTGTATAGAAAATGCAAATATAAACAACCAATGAAAATTTCATGTATATACGTTCATTTGTTTTAGAGTTACACCAAAAACACACATCATTGTAAAATCAATACATTCATCGTTTCACTCAGAATCTAAAATCAATAGTCACAAGTATTTAAAGTTCAAATATTGATAGAATACGTAAAAATGACGAAAATTTGAAAATCATTTTGAGTTCGAAAATCAAAAAATATTTTCATTTTAAATCTAAGATTTGAAAATGTAATACAAGATTCCTCATAATTTTGTCTACCTTTATCAAAAAAAAAAGTTTACAAGAAAAAAAAATTAAATTTTTATGAGCGTTTGAAGTTCATATTTCTACAACATTTGATATTCACTCGATTTTTCATGTTAGGATTTTCTTATTTTATTGTAATTAAAAAACGAACGACTTTAGATACTTGAAAATTTCACTGAATGTATTAATTAGCATTTTCTATACATCATAAAATGTTTTGACTTTTTTTGAGCTGTTTTGGCATTGTCAGTTTTCAATTTTTTAAGTTTTTTTTTCTATAAATATCAATCAAATTTTATTTGTTGGGTAAAAAAGCTTGACAATTTAATGCAAGGCTCCTTATATATTGTTACAATAGCAGTTAGGCACAAACATTTGGCACAATATTTTTTATAAATATTTAAAGTTCGAGTTTTGACAAAATTTATCAAATATTAAATTTAATAATAATTTTGTAGTTAAAAATTTATAAAATGTTCAACTTTGATAGATAATAGGGTTGAAAATTTAAAACAAGATTCCACTTAAACAGGTTATATATAAATTACTTTATTCATCTTAATATCATCAAATATACTTTGTAATATCGTAGGCTGACTGACCGTTTTCGCTCAGAATTGTTTTTTTACCTATTCAATGATATTATATCATTTAATTAAAATTTAACAGTATCCATTACAGTGACCCACTTGTAATCTACAGTACAGTAGAGTGATATCCACTTACCTACCTTTTTTTATGTTTGATTAACAATTAATTTTTGAAAAATTATTATTACAAAACTTCAAGCAATTAATTTAAAATGTTATAAATCACATTATCACGTTTATTCTTTTTGAACATCAGAATATATTAAATACATATAATAATATATTATTAAATATGAACTTTTTATATTTTCTTTCGTTTTTGTTTTTTTAAAAGTTATTTTTGCAAAATCATAAAGTTGGTAATGGAAATATTTTTGTATTTATAGAAAAAATCTTAAATTAATTTACGTAATGACATAAAAAAATCTTGTTCAATAATTATTAGGCAAATAGTTTAAATAATTATGAATGTTATTCTAATATCCTAACATCCAATATTTACCAAATACAAATACTGGATATATATATATATATATTATATATACATATATTGAATGAATGCTGTTTTTTGTTAAAAATAAGTCTCACCTTATCAATTTATCCATTATTAAATTTCCCATGAATCCAGTACCACCAGTTAAAAATATTGTCGTATCATTGTAAAATGATTGAATTTCTGATAATTGAGGTGTACTTTCGCAGCTTGAATTGTAGATATCCATGATATTCATATCGAGGCAAAAAACCTGAATGAAACATAAAATAGGTAAAACATCATCGAAAAATATTCAAGTAGGTAATTACATAGTAGAAATATTAGGCCGAAGTTATTATATGTGTACAATTTTTCAGTAACCGAACACTAAGTATGTTTTTATTTTTTAAAAATAATTGATGCCAGTGATTAATTTTAAGCAGGTTATAATATAATACAATTGCGTTTAAATTTTAACATATTCAGTTATTGATAATAATAGCTTATAAAGTGTTTACAACAAAGCGTTTACTTTAAATTAAAGTAATCTATTATCAAGATCATATAACTTCATATAAAATATACCTACCTCCTTAAACATATATTAACATTAACCTAAATATGTTTGAATAACTTGAGCAACTAACAACTAACAACTATATTATAATTTATAGCTAGTTGAATAAATTAATACCACAGAATATAACAATACTTCGGTACAGCATTAGAAAAGAAATACATTCAAAATAATTTAAAAAATGGATACAATTTTAGAAATAAAAGTGTCGGTGGTGTTAAACAATAATTAAATTAAATACAATTTGAATATTCAATAGATAAATTGAACAAATCAGAAGTTTAAACAATTAATACAATTAATTTATGATAAATTTTACATTTTACCACCTATACATTTTAAATTTTTAAATTAATCATTTCTAATTACATGTTATATCTTCTCGATTATATTTTTTTCATAAATATAGAAAAGCTTAGTTTAAAAAAACCAAAATAAAATGTCAATTATAATATATAAACGTAAAATAAAAAAGTTATTGTTATTAAAATAGAACTAAAATTTGAAACTATTTTTTGTTAAACTCATAAAGTTGTATTACCTGCTGCGTGTAATTTTTTTTTAAGTTTTTTGAATCTTAATGGTCTTGTGGAAACTTCACTATTCGAACTTGTGTAATTAACAGGACAAAATATCGTGTTTATTCAAAATACAGATATTAATTTATTAAGTATTGAAGTATACTATTGTAATTCAAATATAAACAGATACAATATTCCCAATAATAAAGTTCGAAAAATGACTAATCCTTTTAGCAAATTAGGCTAATCCATTCGCTCTATGGTTCAACGCGGACTGCGACGATTCTCCATTGCACAATATTATTTATAGTATTGTTGGTAGAGAATAGGGATAATTTCCCAGAATTCAGTATACAAACGTATTGGCCATGAAATCTCAACCAGTTTGTTTGTTTTTTTTTCTCATAAAATAGTTATAATACATACTTGCTATAATATATTATAGTGGTCTACAGCGGTGGCCGGTGGATCCAGTGTTAGAGGAACCGTGAGTCAACCTATTTCAAGAGTTAATTTTAAATCTTAAAAAGGTGGGTTAGTGGGTTCGGTATGACCGACGGTATTGTCCACTCTGCTGTATATTACCATTGGTTAAGAAATACTATGATATTAGGTATCGTACGATAATATGGGACACTGTAATAGAGGTTTTAAATTTATTAATCAATGATATAAAATAATTATACGAAACATGATTCTGAACAGAGACTCATCGGTCTGTAAGAAAGCCTATATTACTAATTATACTATTATTAACTATTAGGTAGGTAATGATATTATTGCTAATTTTCCTGACTTTTACGTGTTTTGCCAAGATTTGAACTTTAAATGCGTATAAAAAAAAAGGCGGGCAAGTGCGTATCACTCTGCTGTGCAGTAGGTTACAATTGGGTCAGTGGTCACTATAATAAATGGTGTTAAATTTGAATTAAATGATATCAATAATGTCATTGTATAAGAAAAACGATTTTGAGCGAAGACGGTCAGCCTATGATATTACTATATATATTTGATGATATTATTGTGAATAAAGTAATTTATATATTACAACCGTTTTACGTGGAACCTTGTTTATATTTTTAATCCTTAGATATAAAAGTTGAACATTTTTTACATTTTTAACTACAAAACAATTATTAAATTTTGTCAAAATTCGAACTTTAAATGCTTATAAAAAAAATTGTGCCTATGTATTTTTAATATTTTTCAACTACTATTGTAACAATATATCAGGAGCCTTGCATTCAATTTTCACGCATTTATACTAAATAAATACAATTTTTTGACAACATCTCAAAAGAAAAAATGTAAAAATAATTTCAAAATTTTATGGTGTATAGAAAATGAAAATATAAACTTTCAGTGAAATTGTTATGTATCTACAGTTATTCGTTTTTGAATTTCTACAAAATAACAAAATCACAAGGTACATGAGAAATCGAGTGAATATCGAATCTTGTAAAAATATGAACTTCAAACGCTCATACAAATTTAATTGGATTTGCTTGTAGACATTTTATTTGATGATAAAGGTAGACAAACCTATGAGAAATCTTGTATTCAATTTTAAAACCTTAGATTTAAAAAGAAAATTTTTTATGAGGTTCGAACTCAAAATAATTAAAAAATTTATTTAATTTTCGTCATTTTTACGTATTTTGTCAACATTTGAACTTTACATGCTAATAATAAAAAATGGAATTTATAAATTAGGTTGAGAGGTCGCACCAAAAACTTGGTGCAACCCCGAGCCCCAAAAGCCTTAATTAAAAAAGGTTTTGATTATAACATAATATTATGAAATAACGTTTAGCTTATTTAATGTTGTATAGATATATACAACAGTTTACATATACTTAGGTAGTTATTACTTATTTGTATAATAATAATCATGATAATATTATATTATAAATTGAAGAAATAAATTTGAACGACACTTTTATTTATCTATGGCAGGATGCAGGACGGCATATGAACCTGAGCTCGTTTACATATTATTTCCTTGCTTATAATTTGTTATAACATATAAAACAAGTAAATTATTACTTAAATTGTGTTCAAATATTTTTTATGGTTTTATAATATTAAATAAATAATAAGAACTATATAGGTAGGTACTATTTAAAAAAAAAAAAACAAAATAATACTTAACATGAAATTAACGATATAGGTCTTCCAGTTTCAAGCTATTCTACTTCTATTTAAAACCAGCTAGAGTTAAAAAGTGCTCAACTGAATAAAAATAATTCTGATGACATTATTGATTTAGGTACTTGAGAGGAGAAAGGTGGATCACGTCGTCCTGAACTCTGAACTCTGAACTGGACAGAAAAGTCATGTTAAAATAATTGAGCTAATTTTATTTTCTTGGATGAATGGTCAAGAGGACGTCACACCCGCATGTGTTGTCTCCGTCTTACAATATACGTACAACACAGTAAAAACTGTTTTTCGAAGGACAACTTTTATCTTTCTGTATTTTTATAAGTGGCTCCAAAATCGCTGAACATATAGGGTAGAAAACTATCTATGCAACAGCGTGTCTATATTTTAGATAACATAAATACAATAAAAGTTATTTGCTTCTAAACATTTTGTTTTTTTCATTTACTTATAAAAAATGATAGAATAGTGCTATTAAAAAAAAAAAAGCAAGTTGTTGCACACATAAAGTTCTTCTTTACGTGTTGTGAAAATTTGGTAGTTCTGCAACTAATATTGTGCGAGAAAAGTTGTCCCGCGCCAAACAGTATTTGCTATGTTATGCATTTGTAAGACAGATATAACACATGCAGGTGTGACGTCCTCTTAATGCGTGTCCATACCTACTAATTATAGTAATATTACTAATAATAATTAATAAGTTAAACTATAATTACATTTTAATAAATTTATATTATATTTTGTTGTCTTATTATGTGGTTAAATTTTTTTTGTTATTGATTATGAAGCCCGGAAACTATGGCCATTAGCTGTTTTTTTTTGTTTTTAAGGGAGGACATTTTAGGTTTGTAAACACGTGTGTTTTTGGTTTGGCAGGATCTTTAGTGGGCACCCGTGAACTAGTGTACTGCAAGGTGGTTCCACATAACTTATTTTTTTTTATAAACGTTTAAAGTTCAAATGACAAAATTCATCAAAATCTCGAAAATGTTCAAACTATTTTGTCGTTAATAATGTTTGTAAGGTTCACAAATCGACTACTACTGTAAAACAGAGCTGTACCACTTGTCCTATAATACAATTTAAGACTATACGCTAGGCAAAGGCTTGGATACAGCTTTTATACCTTAATATTGGCCGTCTCCGCTATACATATAATTTAGCGACGCGCCTGCTACTTAATGTACCTATATATAAAATACATTTATATTTTTTTTAAACTTATATATAGGTAGTACCTAGTAAAAAAATTCACACCCAATTATATTATATTTCTTATTTTTTTAATCATGAAAAAGTTCTTTTTATCAAAATTAATTTATTCACCTGTACATCTTTCAACACTTAGTATTACCAAATTGCTGAAAATGTAGATATTCAACTATGATTAACCCTTAGTGCTGATGTAAGGTTTCTCCACTCTCCAGCACTCTCCGATTTTTTGTTAGTTTGGCAAAAACTAAAGGGTTACAAATTTGGATTATGGTCATTCAAATTCATACGAATTGCATGCTATAAATATTTACAAAAAAATTATAAAATTCGAATGTGCATGGGGTGTTTGGGTAATGCAAGTATAAAAAAAACAGCGTGTAAGAGATTTATTTAATAAAATAAGTTTGATATTCGACTTTAAACAAAGAGCGTTTAATTGTATTTATTCATATACTTATATTTTAAGGTTATAAATTATTATTTCAATTTTTAAATAAAATACTATTTTAAAAAGGTACACAAATGAGTTTCCATGATAAATATTAGTATTATGCAACCCGAGTGCCCACACATTCACTCATCCCAGTTCCCACACCTATTTGCATATAAACCTATTTAAACCGACCTTAAAAAGTCGCCTAATCTAATGAAAATATCTAGTTCGCCTAAAGATATAACTGAATGGCAATTTGTTAATAGGGGCACATGTACATTTTTAACTACTTTTCAGGAGAAACAAAAAACAGTTATCCTTTATTTCTTTTTTCGTAATAAGATCAA